GTGACTTTACTTTAAACTTAACTTTAGTTTGAAAATCCATCTGATATATACAGAACTGGCCATACAGATGAGGAACTAACAATAACTTTTCCTTTTTTTTTTTTTTTGTCTTTTTCCGTGTCCGGCAACGGATCGCAACCCTCAGTGTTTCCCCCGTACCGGACTAGGACCAGCAACGGGATCGCAACCCTCGGTGTTGCTCCCATGCCTCGCTCAGCCAGTGAGCGGGAACCGGTCTGTATGTGGGATCCGAACCCTCGGCGGGAGCGCCGCCGCGCTTCCCAAGTGGCGCACTATAGCAGTACGCCACCGGGCCGGCCCCATTTTTGCAAAATCTTGAAAGTAGTGGTGCCATAGCAAATTTCTGGCAAACAAGCAGAGCTACTCATTTACTCATTCTTGAGAACTTAGTGCAAATTTATAGCAGTGTCCTGGTCTCAGAGTGCTAAAATTGTCTTTTAAGTATGTTGTCTAACATGTTAAATTAACAAAACTAATAACCTTCTTGTAACAGGTTTTTGAGTTCTTCAATTCGTTCTTCATAGTAGCTTAATTCCTCTCGATACTGACGATGCATTTGTGTCAATTTCTGTTGATGTACATTCTGCAATACTGACATTTCATGTTGATGGTCATCAATTTCCTGACTTCGGTTCTGTTTAAGTTCCTTAAAAAATAAAAACAAAGTTAATCATGTTTATGATCAATAAATTTACCTAAGCTATTTATTTTACTGTTGTCCGAAAGGCCTTTTTATTAAAAATAATTCTCTGAATATGTTAAGGCTGAAAAGAATTTAAACACAGGCCCCAAATGAGGACAATTCTGAAAGACTACACCCTTTCCCTTCTTAGGCCTTAAAAACAGATTTTCTACTTTTAAAGAGGGAACACCAGCAAGAAAACACTGAAAAAAAAGATAAGCAAAAATATCTTTTCCTAATGACATATTCCACCAATACCAGCTATCAACCCTCTGGCCAATCTGTATCTGTTATCCTACTATCCCCATCCTCTCACTCAGCCTTTCTATCTACCAGTCTTCATGGGAATTCCAAATTGTTAACCCAAGTTGAGAAGACCAGTGTCTCTCCCAGGAACCTAGATCTTCAGCTGAGTCCTCGAAAGAGAGAAATTGGTTGGACAGGAAGCCTTACGATAGCTGCACTTTCAAGAGTCTGTCTGCTGTATACCACTACCTAGATTCCTGACACTGTCCCCACTCCTGTCCTTCCTGTGGCCAGAATGCTCATCTCTTCCTCCAGTCCTATGGATGGACTACACCAGGTCCTTCCAGAAAATCCTCTTTTCCTTTACTTAGCTAGAGATATTTTTTGCTGCTAACCAAGAATCCTAATCTATAAATTAGCTTCCACTTCCTGAGAAAATAAGTATAGGTATTCTTTTTTTTTTTTTTTTTCCTTTTTTGTCTTTTTTACTGACCGGTAACGGGATCGCAACCCTCGGTGTCGCTCCCGTACCGAGGATCGGCAATGGGATCACAACCCTCAGTGTTGCGCCCACACCGTGCTCACCCAGTGAGCGGGAACCGGTCTCCACATGGGATCTGAACCCTCGGCGGGAGCGCCGCCACGCTCCCAAGCGGCACACTCTCCAGTGCGCCACCGGGCCGGCCCAAAGTATAGGTATTCTTTAATCCTATGCACTTCTTTATGTGCCAGCACTGGGCTAACATCTTAATATTTAAACCTCAAATAAATAAATAAATAAATAAAAATAAAAATATAAACCTCAAAACAATCCTACAAGGTAGGTATTATGATGACATCTA